GAGTTGAAAACTAAGATTGTGGATTAATTCAGGATATAATTTTTAGGACATAAAAGAAAAATTCTACTAAAATCTAATTTTAGCATCAAAAGAAAAATCATTCATTAAGAAACACTATAAAAACATCATTTAAAATAGTGAAAAATTAATTTATATGTTTTTTATATTTTTTAGAATAAAAATATAAATTAAAATATTTAAACTTGTAATAGAAGAATAAATTGATATATTTTTTATATTTTTTAGAATAAAAATATAAATTAAAATATTTAAACTTGTAATAGAAGAATAAATTGATATATTTCTTTGTCTTTTTATTTTACTTTGTACCGTATCCAAAGTTCAATGCTTTGAAAGGAAATCATTTCTTCACCCAAAAGAAAAACTTAGAAAAACTTTTGAATCATGGGCTTTTAAAGTGGATCTTTAGGTATAAATTTCTCTTATATTTTATTTTTTTTTATTTATAATATATAAAAATTAAAAATATAAGTTTCAGATTTAAAAATATTCATTTTAAAAAATATAAATATAAATATAAATGATGATAGTCATTAAAATGTATATTAAGAAATATAAATTTGAAAAAAATTTAAAATTTTTTTCCTTCTACTAGATGAAAATTATAAAAAGATCTAATAGTTTTTTTTAGAAGAATAACCATTAAAAAATTTTCTATCCTTCAAAAAAATAAACTCAAAAATCTTGGAACTTTACATAAATTGTAAAAATCTATATTAAATTTTCTGCTCTTATGAATGTAATTACTATATATATAAAATGTTTTACATTGCTGTATATTTGAGTTACTTTATTTTATATGGTACGAGTTAAATCCTTGCCATTGTCATGGATTTCTGACACAAATTTTCACAAAGTTTAGTTTGTTGATATCAAGATCTTAGCTTTTAAGCATTTTATCTTATACATTAGTAGGAAATTTTGCATTCAAGTTCTTCAAAACTAATTCTATATTAATATAAAAAAAAAGAAAATTGATAGATTAAAGAAATATTATAGAGAATAATTTATCTTTTACAAATTAGGTCATGGACTTAATGTACAATTAATTGCACATGTAAAATAATTTAATCTACTTTATTTATTTGTTTATATATTATCAATAAATAACTTATTATTATTGATGATCTAAAAAAATATTAATTAATAAAATTATATCCAAATTTTGACATAATATTATATTGGGTGTTATTGTTGATGTAAGTAGAGATGATAAGTAAAAATAGACAAATTGTGTTTAAAATATTTAGGTGAACAAAATAAAAATAAATTAATCAAAAAATATAATATTAATTATTTTAATACTATAATAAGCAAATTTATAATAGTATTTATTAAATAATTTAAAATATGAATTAAAGTAATTTTAAAAAATATAATATATGGCTAGAAATTAAATAAATTATCATATATATATATATATATATATATATATATATTGATTTTGATTTTATTTATTACATTATATCTTTTGATATTATTACAAAATACTATTAAAAATATTTATTTGATTTTTTTTTAATTTTAAATCAACCACCTATTGTAATTAAAATAATTTATCTTAAAATTAGAAATTAAAAAAAATCAATATCAATTCATTTCATAAAAATTATTTAAATTTTATTTTTTTTTTATAACATATTTGTAAAGAAAATTTTAAATGTTGTAGCATATAATAATAATTAACCTAATCTTATACTAAAAATATAATCAAAAAAATGGTTCAAAAACACATTCACACAATCAATAATTATTATATATTTTTTTATTTATTGTGCTAAAAAATTATTGTCTTTGCCATAAATTTTCATTGAATTATGGAATAATTTATATATGAATTTTTTTTTTGCACAAACATAATAACTTGCTGAAGTAAATGTGGCACATAACACTACTCTAGAAGTTAGATTCAAAGGTATTATCACTAGCTTTTTATTCACTTGCAATCTTGTTTCTTTTATATGCTAGTAAAAAACTATATATATATATATATATATATATATATGAGCTCCCAATATTATTCTTTGAATCATTCTGCATCTACAATTACACTCACTTGATTATAAATTTTAATTATAAATTTTACTCATGGAAAAGGATTTTACATTATTCAAAATGGATATCCACATTGCTGGTTCTTACATGAAGAGAGCTGCAAGTTGCTCCTCTGTTACATGTAGCACAGAACATCTAAAAAAAATAAAAACTTTGGATAAAAAGAGAGAAAAGGAGTTTGTGCCACCAACCACACTCATTTGAAGAAGTTACAATAGAGTCTCTTTACAATGCTTTATCATGCTCCACTTAACACTGCTTGTTATCAATTTTACATAGATGATCAAATCAATTACGTTGATACATTATCTAATCACTTCCTTGATTATGTATTATTTTTCTTTTATCTCTCTAGAACTGAACTTTTTTATAAATCACATAAACATCTAAAACTTCACTATAGTACCACAACATGCAGCTCGTGCACAAAAGAATTCCATTAAACAAACTTGTAAAGATTATGAAAAAATGAGCTTTGATTCTATAATAGAAACTTCATCCATGAAAAGAATAAAAAAGAATCAAAAGGAGCAAATCAACAATAGAGAAGTAATGTTGAATATTGTAGAAGATCAATGGAATTGTATATACATCTAAAAATTAAGATCACAAAGTAAAAATTTAATATAATATTGATCATTAAAATAATAATTATACACACTACATAGTAGATACAAGTACATGATTAAGAAGGTCAAGTGTCCATATTTAAAACAATCTAATCAAAATTCTTTATAAATAACATTCTTGGATAAGCTTATAAAATCCAATACAGCTTCAAATACAACTAGAATCATAAAAATTCATTATAAATCCAATCAAAATTGATTCACTCACATCAAAATTATGAGCATTGTCATGCTTTTGTTCTACTTAATCTCCTTCATGCCACTCCAATGCTATCATTAGCAACATAGAATGCCTTGTGAAATGCCATGATCAACTATAATACATCCTATAGAATGCCTTGATCATTTAACAAACGCCCTATGGAATGCCTTGTAAACTTCAAAAATGACAAGCTTTTTTGATGAAAAAAAAGATCCATCTATGCAACCATTGAAAATCACTACTTCAACTTGTAAAACTCTCCAATCAATTGTAAAATACAAGGATAAATTGTAAAATGGGTTGTGAACTCTACAAAACATGAATCTCTTTTTGATGAAAACAAAGGCCCATCCATGCAATGAATGAGAGCCAACACTTGTCTTCTTAAGCATTCTTAATATATAGATGGAATTCAAATATTTTACAAAAATCTTAATTTTGGCTCACATCTCATTTATAAAGTAGAGATATATGATAAGAAAATTCTATATATATATATATATATATATATTACTTACAAAAGTAAACTCTGTTCATAGATCAAAATTCTCAAACAATTATGTTTTAATTAGAAAATAATAAGGCAAAAGAAAAATTAAACCAAAAAATAAATATAATGAATTAAAAGAAATCAATAAATATAAAAAATATTTATTCATATGACCACTATCTTAATTTAATATTTTTTTGATGATATGTTTAGTAAGTATATATGTATGTTAAAGTATTATCTTAATGTTTATAAAAAAATATTAAATTATTAAGAATAATTTCTATTAATAATTACAAAGTCTTAGAGATAAATTATGTTTTTTTAGGTTATTATACTAGCACTTATAAATTATAATGTATTTTATAAGAAATCAAAAGATCCAATTATTTTACAATCATTAAATTCAATGTATCAAAAGTTAATTTCTTTCAAAGTTTTAAATTACAATATTTAAATTAATAAGTATTTTTGTTATATTCTATACATAATTTCAATACATAGACTAAAAAATGGTTGATTTGGTAATTCTAGTATTCTAATAAATAATAGAATATTCAAGAAAAGTTAGACATAGTCTCATGTACACCTTTTCACATATTCATGTAATTTTTTGCAATTTATTGAAATAAGTTTATTAAAAATTTTAATAAAAAATTTATGATAAATTAATATCTTTATTTAATATCTTACCTTGGAACCTAATATTTTAACTACAATAGCTCAGCTACACAATTTCTAGTATTAACTACCATCTTATCACTTAAGACCTCCTATGCTCAATGGATGGTCAATGTTATTCTTGGACTTTGCCTACACCTTGAAATCACCTATTTTCAAGTTTTACACTTCCATATGCAAGGGAGTAAAGCACTTTATGACCTTTCATAGGAGATCATAAAAAAAGCCTTTTCAGTAAATAGGTAAGTGTCCACCAATATATTAGAAGATTGCTCCACCAACATTTTCTACTCTCCAAATTAACTAAAGACGAACTACCTAGACCCACTGCTGAAACTAATAATATGTCAAAAAATTAGGAGAAAGTTTTGTCTTCTAGTTTCTATTCTGGCCACCCAATCAAGCATGGAAGGAGGCTCTTAAAATTCCACAAAACAATAATCATGGCATTGAGTGAACATTGAACTATTGAGAATCAAGACTAAAATGAAAATGTACAAATACTGATTCATGATAAAATCAAAGATCTAAGATGCCCAAAACAGCAACTCTGAGTCGAAACGTAATCTAAATGTCAAAGATTCTTCCACTACTGATTCGGCAACCAATCACAAAGAAGCCAGAAAGATAAGTTCGCAACCTCATCCATGTGAATCTCATCCATATGAATCTGCCGTAATCAGCAGCGTGCTACTACACACTGTCACATGCAACCAGGAAGTTCTCTAAATGCAGCCATCAACATGCGTACACGTAATCGAGCAGAAAATCATTGTGACCATTCGTGTGAGGAAGCCGCAGCGTCACCGCTGCTTACCAACCCAAGACGCTTCGCAACCACTGAAAAGTGGAAACATAAAAAATTCACGACCATGCTGCATTCAACGTGCTTAATATATCAAGACTTTAAAGAGCTCTGCTATAACAAGAAGTATACCAGTACCCAGAACAATCTGCAAGACTTGAAGGCACCATGATTGAGAAGAGAGGTACAAGCCAGTACTGTAACAGAACGTTCCAGTAATTTATCATAGGAGATGGAGAGATTAGGTACTTGCCGTCATTTCTTCGTTGTTTGCGCTTAGGACTACGCTCCTTTTGATTGTGATTCGATCGCTGACATAAATACATATATTTAATATACAATCTAATCTCTAATCCTCGCCATGTATGCTCCAATATAATCATTGAGACGTAACTCACGAATTCATGACAGTTGCCCTACACTAGAATACATTATAAGACAGTATCTCCAGTATGCTCGTACTGTCACCACCACTATGTGACGCTGAAACTATACGATATAACACCGCCGCCGATCTGCAATGGGACGATGCCAGCTCCGATTGGCGGATTCAGTGCGACAATTTGCAGCAAATTCTTACCGAGCCACCTAATTCTCTTCGTCAACAATATATGGACAAGATCCATCGTCCACATTTGCAAGTGGGTCATAGAATGGCGACTCCGGATCGGTGCAACCGGGCACAATATCCAGATCACACCTATCTCCCTGAGCGATGACATCAGACACATGAGAGTTAGTACGGAACAATTGTTTGAGATAAAAGCAAGAATCGAGCTCGTGAAGTCCACAACCCAAAATAAGACCAGCCCTAAAGTGTAGGTTGATGCGTAGTAAATACCCCTTCTTGAATCATTCCTGCCGGGAAGACGCAACGATCTTGAATAAATACAGCCTCAGGATAAATCGCATTTTCACAGGCTCCTTCGTGGGCAAGTTCCTTTGCAAGACCCTGTACATCAAGGCACACTCACGTATAAAATAAAAATAAAAATAAAAATAAAACATCATAATAAAATTCTGTTTTGGCCAGGCTCCTTTTGAAAAATCTCTTATCTGGTCAGACAGTTGGATTGCAATAATTGTGACTATATTGCACTAGCATGCCATTGAGTCCATCCCAAATATGCTATTCCTTCCAAATCAAGCATGTCACTATGCAATTACCTCGTCGAAGTAGCTCTGAGGCAAGCCTTTTAATTTCTGAGGTACGTCCATGACCAACTTATATGGGCCATCCCAGTCCTTTCCATCGGTAAAAGAAAATTCCAAAGTCAATGCTGAGAGTCGATTAAAAGTACAATGTCAGTCAGGGCCTGGAAACGTCGAAGTGGCCGAAATGCATGAATATGCTATCCGAAGAAGGCGAGGTACACCCCAAAAAATCAATATCCAAAATAGATTCAAAAAACACATTCAATTCCTAATCAAAGTCAGAAATCAAACTTCCCAAGGCTTACCGTGTAAGGGCACGTTTATTTTAATGGAATATATAGGAGTGCAAAGGCTTCCTCGTTCCTTCTTCGCCATGATACGCGGCTCTCCACCACACATAATAGGCTGATTGAAACCTCCTGCACCAACGTCCAATTTTATCAACATCTCCACAGCATCTGAATGCCATTGTGGATCTGAATGTCAAAGGAAGGGTGTGCTTCCAAAGGAGGAATGAAGGGATCTTAGTATACCGTTGAATCCAATCCCATATTCGGAATTAGGTGTCAGACTACTTGCAGACGAATTGAAGTAGATAGTAAGAAGTTGACCCTGCCAAAATGGGCTACGTCAAAAATAGTCGTGAGACATCCTCAACCAATATTTACCCAGCCTCTGCACAAGATCTTCACAAGACGACCGAAACCTTTGCAACCACGGTAACCATGACACACCGCAGTTACTCACAGATGTCGGTTTTTGGCCATTGTTGGTTTCCCAAAAGACTGTGGCACGCCCCATCTCAAAATCTGCCCAAGTCGGTAAGCTGTACCTGCGGCAGATAACCAATGTAAACCTTCATTTCACATCAAGGATTCAAACTAATAACATGTTCTAAGCTTAGCACAAAATCTACACTATATGGATTAGAATCATGTACTTGCAACGACTGCAGCGGGGAGTGTTATCTAAAGGCGTAATATTCGCTGCCTACTATTTAAGTATTTTTAAGCTAGGTACGTGAAGTTTTATTGATTACTAGGATTTTGAACTTACTGCTTCACGCCTGTGTTGTTTACTACGGAAGTTGCAGAAATCTTTCCCCCCAACATTATCGAATTCTGCGACCTTAAAGCTCTCACTTCAGCTGTTAATTGAAATCCATGAAAACGGGATACTGCACCACCATCCAATGCACAAGTGCTTCAGGATTGACTTCGCAGACTACCTCAATCTGACCTCAGCGTCAAATTCACATTAACTGAGCATAAATAGACAAACAAATGTAGAGGAGACGTCATTCCCACACAAACAGGTAGCACATGATCACAAGAGTCTCGTCAGCTGGAAAGTAATAAAAGACTCCACTATTGTACGCTAACTCTCATACGATTCATTGAACACCCTAAAGCTACATCTAACCCCAAAATCACAACACAGACTCAGCTTATCAATTCGTAAAAAATACGTAGGCAATAGAAAAGAAACACGTTCCAATAACTCATAAGATCAGCATCACAAAATGCAAAACTCCTCCTAACTAATTGCTAAAACCCCTAACCATAGCAATGTCAATTCCAGCAGCACAATCCCAAATACTCCACACAACACGCCAGAGACAAGCATGAATCCCAAAAAAGAAAAGAGTAAAAAAAGGAGAAAAGATTCGTCTCATTACACAAGGTCAAGAAATCCACCCCGAAAAACCTTCACACGATGAATTCCAAAACAAACTGACAAAGCCGTGGCCAACTTTACCAACGGAATTACAGCATCCCAAACCATGTACCACTTAATCCAAATCCACACCCATAATCCACCATCTCACAACTTCACGAAACAAACCAATTTCCAAGAATCCTCACAGAAGAAGCCACACGTATGACTCGCCATCGCGCAGTTACAAACAATACCCACCTCCTCAGCCACGAACGAGAAGCCCGAAACCAAAATACACTCATGTACCGCGAGACATCGTCACCCAGCTGGCACACACTCCCCAGAGAGGACCCAACAGCCCTACTGCTCTACCCGAATTCCAACCCAATCGATGCGAGGCCAGAGAAAATACCTAGAGAGGAGGGACCAGGGGAGCCACTGGGCGGTCTGCGCCAAGGCGCAACGGCCTCGAGGCTGGCTGCGAGGCTGTGGCGTGCAGTAACAGAGGAGGAAACAGCAGGGAAGATGAGCGTCGCCATGAAGGCAGAATCCCTAGCCGTCCCCGCGCTCTCGCAGCTGCGTGAGATTGCGTCCTCTTCGTCGTTGTTGTTGTTCAACTTGATATTGTTGTTGTTGTTGTTGCCGGAGTCGATGTGAGGCTGCGAGGGCGCGGATAATAATGACGATAGGCGTCGACGTAGGCAGCGCGGCCCGCGAAAGCATAGCAAAAGCAAGGGTGGGGAGGGTGGCGGACTCGCGAGGACTGCCTAAATCAGCAACGACGTCGATGACGATGACGACGATCGTCCTCGTTGGAAAACTGCCCCACTTCCGTCGGCCGAACAGACCTGAATACTTCGGAAGAACATTGAACACCAACGTGGATTATTTGTTACATGAATATTCAAGTTCATGTTTCCATGTTGTGGTGTTTCAGAGACATAGCTAGTCAAAGGTGAAATGAAAAAGTGCATATTTATCTATCTATCTACATTATCATGAAGTCGTTAAATTTGAAGAATAAGTGAAAGATTCTTTTGGAAATGTTTACATGAAATAAAAATATTGGTACCTTTTCAAATGCAAGTATATGAGGAAAGTGGTGCAAAGGAACAACCTCGAAGGTTGCACAAAACCAAGACAAGTGGCCAGAATGCATTTTTTGGGAGAAAGCAACTTCATACTTTAGGAGATAGATACCAATAATCTTTTCCATTCCTCCCAGGTATTTGGGAAGTATGACAAAGCCAAGTGAGAAAGAGGTGAGAAAAGGATACAAGGAAGCAACTGGAGTCGGGATCTTAAACTTGCAGCCATGCATAGATTCAAGTTTAACATAGTGAAAGTTTCTTCTATCCCAATGCACAATGTCTGAAAGGCCATTTAACAGCCACACAATTTCTAGGGGGAAGCTATCTCCACTCCGTTTGTTGCACCTTGGTGGAGGCAAAAATGAATCATCTACATCCTCAACAAAATTCTGTTGTTGTCTAGTGCTTGCTTTGCGTTGGAATCTGTATAGTTCAGTTCTGTAGTTGTTGTGTGCTACCAAAACATTGCAACTAAGGTACATCAATTCAGATGCCACTAGTGGCATGTTCAAGTCATGGATGGGCTTCTACTGGAGGCATATCCAGTTGTAGTGGCCCTGCAACTGTACAAGCCAGGCAACACGGCACCCATGTCATGGACTGCCAGTTACAATAGCCTGGCAGACAGAATTAACATGTCAGCTTACCTTGAGTGCAAGATTCTTACTTAGCACGTAGCAGATAAGACCATGCAAATAGCAGGTGCAAAAGATAATAGCCTGGAAATCGTTCGTGACATGATAGCATGAGGTAAGGATATGCCTGCACAGTTTCAAGATCATGAGTTGGACTCGTGAGTTCTTAGCAAGGATCCCCGTTGTTTTCTCATTGTTTTACTCCAGGTTGCACGCGTCGGTGGATCTGAACACAAAACTAATTTGCAGCACTCTTATGTAGTGCATATCCGCAAGGATACATGTCAAATGAAAATCAACGGCTCTGGTACAGACCTATCTTTGTTGAATATACGTGGAAGAACAACTCTGACCGTTCTGCCAAGACCAGACTGGTATGTCTCTCAGGCAACCCCTCCCCAAATTCGTATTTATCACCGTGCTTGTGCATAGCATTTTTAGGCTTGAGTCTATAATTCCAAAAAGGTTGTGAGTAAACTGTACGCATTATTAAATTCAAATAAATAACTCTGTTTTGGATCCCAGTCCTGTATGAGTGAACTGAAGATATGCTTAAGTTTCTCAAAACTGGTGATAAAATTTCTCGAATGTTTGTTAGTCAGCACACCAACAGGTCGGATGAGTGAAAAGTGCAGAACTACAATCCACGCACGAGACGATTGGAACTAGAAGCTTGTAGTCTTTCATAACGCCTCCACCAACAAAAGGATTTAAGCCAACTTCATGAAAAGTCTCAAAATTTCTTCTAGAATGTTAAAACTAGATTTTCAAACCACCTGAGAACCAGACAAAATTTGTAGTGAACTAGATCGAAGGGAAGCTTGCCCAGTTGCTCAGTCCGAGAGGGTCCATTACAAAATGGAATACTAATTACTGGAATAGGAACGTGCAGGAAGAAAATGGAACATAATTTCAAAAGGGAAAACTCTCCAAACTTGAGAATCCACTAGGCGACAGAGATCTCATCATCTCTGCTTTCGCAAATCCCTAAGCCAAAGGAAAGTTCGCCCTGCGCACAATACGTTGCAAATTTTCCTCTAGGCTTTGCCGCACCATGTCATTCACAAGGTTCATTATCCCCTCAAGGAAGTTCTGTTAGCTGTCTATAAGGATCGAATACCTCTGGTGGAATTTAGAGCTGTCCTGCAGCAGTCCCATGGGACCCGAAACCGACCTCCGTTGTGCTCGATCCTCCCGTAGACATTTCAAAATTCTTATCGCTCGCTTCTGCGCCAATTCATTGCCAAGGAGGGACACCTCTGGAAAAGCAGGAACCGCTTGATTCCGCGCCATAGCTTGTCGATGGGCGTAGTTGTGATACGCAGCTTCCATGAGAACGTACGCAGCTCCCTCCTGGCATTTAGAGTGAGCACCCCACCGGAGAATCTCAATCAAGGTCTCCATTATGCCGGCAATTTCCATCGTGGAATTGCAACCGAATGGAACACCCACCATCTTACTAAAAAAATGCTATAGCTTGTCCGTATGATGAGGATTCTTCACTGTGTTGAGGATGAGATGCATTGTATCCGTCTCAACAAAGACTTTGATGTTACATTGCTCGACAGGTTTATAGCTTCCACAGAACGTTGGTGCGAATTCGATCTCAGCGGCCGAATTTTACGATGTGAGCAAGTAGAGGGATGGCCCCGGAGATGCCGTCAAAGGGTTTGTTGCGTTCTAGCGCTGACATTTGAGAAAGGCTGCGACGACGGCTTCCTGGATTGATGGTTTGGGATTTTGGAGAGACCAACCTTGGAACCGAGCCTGCGTCAACAATGGCAGCTTTGTTGAGATCGTTGCCGTTTGCGAGACTGAGAAGTGTTAAGAGAGCCGAGTGGGAACAGTAAATGGGGCTTGAATCTAGCATTGCAACTAGCTGGGAGATCTCTCCCAAGGCGGCCAAAGTAACCCCTGCAGCGGGACATTTTTTCGCCAGCCATATCGCCAATGTTGCAGCCACTCCTTGCTCCATCCCTTTCTTCGAGAAAAGCTGTGTAACCAAGTTTTGGCATTGACGAATTACCATGATCTTGTAGAAATTTCTGGTATAATAAGGGAGAAGTTCTTTTCGCATGTTGTATAAACATTTATACATTTCAAACACGTTATGTTTGAGGAGGTCATCATGTTTTCTATTTACAGCAATGTATTCAAACTATGTGTTTTTCATAGATGATATCTAATTGATGCCTTTACTATGGTGAACATTGCCGCTTATTAAGTTCATCCATGTATAACATGGATATTGGCTAAGTATGAGGGAGAAAACCCTAGGCATATTTTTTGCTAATACTCCCTTTTGCTTAGGATTTTTTCACATTTTCAATATAAATGCTTGTATTATGTTGCAATATCAAATCCCACCATATTGGTGCATAACAATCATGTTGTTGTATAACATGATTTATGAACTGAGAATACATTGAATACCTAGTTGTACAGAGTCTAGCTTTAACTTATTATCTAAGTTTCAATAAAAGACAAATGATTTATTTTTAATATAAAAGACAAATGATTTATTTTTAATATAAAAGACAAATGATTTATTTTTAATATAAAAGACAAATTATTTATTTTTAATATAAAAGACAAATGATTTATTTTTAATATAAAAGACAAATGATTTATTTTTAATATAAAAGACAAATGATTTATTTTTAATATAAAAGACAAATGATTTATTTTTAATATAAAAGACAAATAAATATAGTAATATCAAAAAAAAATCTACTAATAAAAATCTTTTATATTTAAAAAGTTTTATACATAAGGCTTTTTAGAGCATCTAAAAATTTCCTAACACCCTTTGCTATACTAAATCATAACTAGTCATTTGTTGATGACTTAGATTTTTAGTAATTTCAAAGAAAATCCATAATTTTTTTTTAAAAATTCATATTTATGTCAAAATTTTATCATAGCTCTATATATCCATCTTTAAAATATATATAAAGTATTGACTCCCAAAAATCCTTTGGTTTATATAAAAGATCTAAAATTGTAGCTTAAAACCTCCCACATCTTCTTTATCCACAAGGATTTTGTTTTTTCTTAAACTTTAGGATCTAATACCTCACTTTTAAAAATTTCTTATGGCTTTAATTGGTGTAAGGAATGTTTTAGATTTAAAATCAAAATATTTATTATATAGATATAAAAATTAATATATATATTTTTTTGACATTGTATAGTAAAAATATAGAAGAACTTATCATGTGGATATTGTTTGAGATGTAAGTCAAATTTCTAGCATGCACATGTGTAGAATTAAGAAAAAAGATAGATTAATCTCATATCATTTTTAAAATTTAAAGTGTCATATTTTATTGATTGGTTTAGTTTGTATATTGGTCAATTGTTCTCTATTATGCATATATAAAAGTTTAACTTCTCTAAATTGAAACTTTCTTCAAATAAAATGAAAATCTATTTCAATATATTTAATTCAAGCCTATAGTATTGGATTAGCTATCAGCTTTATACATCTTTGATTATTATTCATGATTGATATTGCTTTGTTGATTTGAATCTATGAATCTTCAAATAGCCTTTAAAACCATGTGATATCTTTTGTTGTTTTAGATGATATTTTATATTCTACCTCAATAATAGATAAAATAATAATATTATATAATTTTGAACTCTAATTGAATGGAGAATATCCAATCATATATAGAAACCTAAAAATAGATCTTCATGATTTTATATCTTGTCTTCAATTTGCATAAGCTTAAGCTATAAATTCATCTAATTTTTTTTATTATTAAATTTTTAAATTGGCTATACCTTTTAGATAATGTAAAATATGTATTTCAACTTTTTAATGTAGCCACTATAATAATGTCTAATATTTGCTTATATTCTATGAACGGTTTTTTTTTTCCCTCACTTAAGTTCAATTTGATTCAATTGTAACTTAGATTAAAATGCAATATTAACCAAGGTGGACATTTAAACCATAATCATATCAAAAATAAATAAATAAATAAATATTAATAGTAAAAAATAAAAAATAAAAAATGATATAATATTATTATTAATCCAATCAAGTACAACAAGTCAAGTATATAATTTTTATGATTTTTTAAATATTATAGTCTAGTTAATTAATTGCCTTATAAGATTTATTTGATTAAGCTTAAATTCTAAAAATTATGAATAAAAAATAAAATAAAATAAAATAAATTAGAATTGATAAGTAAAAGTTGAGTGAAGATTTTAAAATAACCAAAATAAAAGTAGAAAGTAAAAAGTAAAAGTTATAAACTAAGGTTAAAAATAAAAGATGAAAATAAAAAGATGAGGTTAATTTTTTTATGTTTTAAAGATAAAGATGGATGAAAAGATAAAACTTTATCATTAATTATTGAAATAAAGAAAAAGTTCTTAAAAATTATAAAATAATATTAATTAATGATAAAAAGACAAATAAGAACTAATAGAATAGATTAGATGCTAAAAGAATGTGATTAGAGGATGATTAGAGAGGAAAACAGTAACATACGTTGAGTATATTAAATTGTAGCCAACTACCTTTGTCACTCAAAAATTCACCAAAAATTTCTTGAGACTCCAATGCATGTCAATTTATGTGTGATTAAGGTTCACTCTAGCATACTTCTACTTTCTATTCCGAAATGCTTGAGATATGGTTTTTTCCAAGTAGAGCTACTTTGGCTACCTTGGCATCAGATCTCTTTTACTTAAAAATTTACTAAAAATTGGTTACTGATTCAAAGTTAAAAATTCTATTTTTTTCCTAAAATTAGACTTAACAAGTTTTTTTTCAAAATAAGATTTGATGAAAAAAAAATAGTAGGTATTAAGTTACGTTTTTCCAAAGATAAATGTTCTAAACTACTAGGGCAATAGATCCGTCTCCACTCTAAAAATCATCAAAAAATTATAATAATTTGAAAGTTATTGACTCAAATTTTCTAATAAATTAAACTTTAAATTACATTCATATTAGCAAGTCATATTAAATTTGAGTTAGAGGTCACCAAGTTACAAATTTTTGAAGTTGACATTCTTAAAGGTATTAAATCCCTTGCTACTTGAAAATTTGTTAAAAATCCGTCTAAGCTTCAAATTACTTGTAACTTGTGTTATTTAAAATCTAGTAATTAAAAAAAATTGAATACCAAATATTGCTCAAAAGCACAAAACTTTGAGTGACTAAGGAAGAAAATACCAAGGCAGTGATAAAGTAAGAAAAAATTTCTTTCAATTAAAAGCCTAGAAACAATTTGGGAGGGCTTCGCCTTACAAAAAGGAGAAGAAAGAGAGGAAGTTCGGCCACTCAAGCCCTCTTAACTATCAAGGACATGAATTTCGAAGAAAGAGAATCCTCAATACACTCTTCTATCACTGAAGAGAATTAGAAAGTCTCTCAAAAGGTGATGTAATATTAACTAGAATGGCTATTGCCAAAAACAAGAAGACTAGAAAGACTTGAAACAAGACTAAGACTAGAAAGGCATTGACAAGAGTGAAGAAGGCTTCACTCTTGCCTCCATATATACTATCTAACTAAGAGCTATGTGGTGATGTCCTATACGACCTCCAACATGTGTTGACTTTGCTAGTCACATGTCTTATCTTGCAAGGCAAGTTATCTATGTATGCGCCACGTAGTTGGCTTGTTCCATAAGCTATTACATGGAGTTAATTTGTTCCACAAGCTACTAATACATGGTTAGGTTTTTGGCCAAGTTTCTAACCTACAAACATATTTGAAGTCAAAACCACATCTATGAAGCTTCTAGGAAGCTTTTCTAGAAGACTTTATGAAATTATTCTTTATTTATCTACTTTTACTTAATCATATAAGTAACTATTGAGCTAAATATATATGTCCATGACATTACCCCCCCTTCTAGAAACAAGTTCCATGAGCAGCGGTCTTCATATATTGAGGAAGTGCAAGATGCGGCAAATTATATTTGCTACATACTTTGATCTTTGCTCTCTTCGAAGATGGTTGATAGGTCTTCTCAACCATCTATAGTGTTCCATACCAGGGCAAGAAGATCACCTTGTTATTTGGTCATTATTGAGGCTTTCATAACTTCCTTCAAATAAAACATTTGAAACACCATTACGAGTTGTTCTTACTTCTAATAAAATCACTAAATATTATGAGTCTCTTTCAAGGTCGTGATACCAAATACATTGTATCTCGCCATCTATTTGAGGAAGGACATGTCGTTCTTAAGGATCTTCATCTCGATTCCGTTGTCTTGAAGGTTGTAATAATCACAATGACTCATCCACTAAGTCCGCAAATAAAAGCTCTTGAATTGAATCTGCTAGTTGTTGGTATTCCATTTCATCACAAATACACAGAAGCTACAATGAGAGATAGAAGGTAGAATGTTATTTTCTTTTGATCTTGTTTCTTTTATAGCAAAGGTTTGCTATTCTTTATCTTGGATTTGATGGATGTCGTTGATGAAAGACTTCAACTTTCTTTGCTCCATTTGCAAGATTCTTTGATGGCTTCTATGTGCGTTCACTAATATCATATTTGTGCCAATGAACAAGATATTTCAACCTATTTTGGTGCCACCTTGAGTCTAAGACTTCTTCTACCACAAACTCTTGGTTATTATCCACTTCTATAGGAGGAGGAGGCATTTGTCTTCTTCCCAAGATATTCACTGTTTTATATGGCTCCAAAAGAGACATGTGAAATATAGGGTGGATCTTCATAGACTATGGTAGATGTAATCAATAGGCAATAGGATTGATTTGTTCACAAATAGAAAAAGGTTTGAGCCTAAGATAATCTAATTTATCACAAAAATGAGTAGTCTTGATATTACGACAAAGTAACTATACCTTATCGCCCATATTATATTATAGTTACTTCTTGCGATAGACATCCCCATTGATCTTTTGTTGTTCATGAGCTTCCTTTAATTGTATCTTCATTGTTGTATGTAGCTCTGACAAGCAATTTGGTAAATCTTCCGTTATAGGATTATCAACTTTTCAAAAGTCAAAAGTATCAAGACGTGGATGATAACCATAATTGATAAAGAAATGTGTTTGTTGAGTGGA